TATATATATATATATATATATATATATATATATATATATATATCACATAATTATAGAATTATATCAAATATATCAAGTTTTTAGAAGTGTTATATCAACACTTAATATAAAAAAGCTAACAAAAATCAATTGGTTTACGCCAATCAGAAAAAACAAACAAAAAAATAATGAGTTGTGATTTTGCTTATGGACTACAATTTATTCACGGACGGACCACATAATCCTATAATATTTGAGGTTTGAAAAAAAAAAAATCTAAATTTTTATACAAGTGTTTAATGTATAGTAAATACTTATACAAATATACTTGTACAGATGTAGATAGTTGAAATCGGCAATGGACAGGGAAAATCACAGATAACCACATGCTATTTGTGTTTTTATCATGCTAAAATGGCAAAGTTCAATTTTTCTTATTGTTTTATGCTTATGATAAAATCACATATCTAATCTCAAAATTGCGGTCCAAATAATAAAATCTCAAACCGTGAAAGTTCATATGCGATGGATCGTTTTTATTTTTTGGTTATTTTTTTGAAATAAAAATTAAGTACTTACGAATAAACTTGTCCTTGTTTCGCAAATTTAACTGACTGCAAAACAATTAACAATCCATAAACAGGAAGTCAAATCTGCATGAGTTGGTGGAACCATGATCTAACTCTAACTAAATTTTTAAAATTAAATATTGTTTATTTAATTATATTTAAATGAGTTGGTGGAACCCATGATCTAACTCTAACTAAATTATTAAAATTTAAATATTTACATACATGTTCCTCGATCAAAAATTAAGAATTAAGAATTATGTTGATCATATTTTGGTTTCAAAACCCTTTTTTCGTAACCCTTATGATACAATTGCAGCTTATCGGTAAAAACGAATTAATTGAATGCGGTAACAACTAGATCAATACGTTATTGCTGCAAAAGTAGCTCCCATCAAAATTTACTATAAATGTGTGGGGACCTAGCTATTATAAGATTTATCGACACTAGTACGAAGTATATAAAAAAAAACCTTTTACATCTATATTTGAACCACTTATGTCAGTTAAAACTATCTATATATGTAAATACGTCCTAGTTTTTGTAATAATCATAAAAAATAAAATTATTTTTCGGTTAATTTTTTACTTTGAAGTAAATTACATGTAAATGCATTAATATTAAGTTATTAACATATATAATAAACATGTAAGTGATAATTTAAATATGTAATTTTACTGATTTTAATATTCTAAATACATGTAAAAAACATTATTTAAATAATTAGCGATCAAATTAAATAACAGTTTTCATTGAAAAGATAAATTTTTTTTACCTCGGGAGAGAACAAGCATGAGGTTGCCATCTCCAAAACTGGTAATCCCGGTCCGGCCGGCCATGCTCCTGGCATGTGAGCTGCGGCTGTATGTACGGACACTCCGATTCTTTATAGAACGGATGGTTCACCGGATCCCACACCCACCTGCCGCTAAATACATCGCACCCCTTCTCCTCTTCCCCGACTGAAAACGGCAGCTTCGTGTCATGAATCTGATGCTTCTCTAATTATATATCGCCGGAAAAGTTTCAATTTCAAATCGCATTTTTAGTTTTCCGGTGAGTTCGAAAAGGAAAGATAACGTACCAGTAGCAGTAGAAGGCGGTGGTGGGTTGGGGTTGATATGGTCGAGATGAAGGTGGTGTTGTTGTCCGATGATACAACGGAGGTCTTCACCGTAGAGGAAGATGGCAAAGATGATGAAGACTAGGAAAGTAAATAAAAGATATGGCGATATTGGAGGTTTTCTGATGAGAACAGAGGTTGGAGATGAAAAAGACCTTAGAGGTTCCGGCTTCATTCTCTTTATCTTCGATTTTGGATTATGCTTCGACGAATGGGTCCATGTTTTTATGATGAATTGATGATATAGAAACTTTGACTTTATTATAAAGTTGCAAAAACGATGATGCTTTATGTTTAACATTTGTCAGTTGTTTACTAAATAAAAAAATAATAATAAGTATAAATAAATTACTCAAGAGTCAAAGATATATAGAACCCATTAACAACGGTACAAAAAAGTAGTGTTCTATTTATTAAATAAATTTTAACTAAATTGTAGAAAACTAGAAATGGTCTATGTGACCGTTTTTTTATTTTTTTAAACGGAAAATCTAAGATACTCCTAAACTACTCCTTAAATTCATCTATGTCCACGACGGAACTTGAACCCTCAACTTCAAGGAGGGAGGACAACACCAGATACCGCTGTGCTAGAAACCCTTTGGTCATTAAGTACTGGGTTTATTACGATTTTGATAAAAATTAGAAAAAATAAAAAATAACCACACGTAACCCCCACCAAATGTCATAACCGCAACAATTGTCATATTTGAGAGACGGAATTGTTATAAAATTAATTGTCTTGATATTAAGCCACAACATTTTACCCATAATCCTCACCGCACCCCTCTGAAATGTCATAACCGCAACAAATGTCATATTTGAGGGACAAAATTGTTATAAAATTAATTGTCTTGATATTAAACCACAACATTTTATAAATGGTTATCATTTTTTTAGAAACTAACTTTTCATCTTAAAGCTGCAAATTAACTAATTTTATGTTTTAATAAAATAACCAACTTATGTTTTTTTTTTTTTTTTTTTTGTATAGTACTTGCTATATCAAGTTGAACACGTCATCATTTTTTTTTAAAATTTTACACATTTGACTAAGATTTAAAATTTTTATATAAATTTGGTTTAATTTAAAATTTTGTTACGAATTCGTCCCAAATTTAGTTTTTTTTTTCAAAAAAAATATTTTTCTAATGTATATGAGGCAATGCAAAAATTAGAAAAACAGTTAACAAAATATTGTAATTTTTTTACAAATTTAAATTCTAGGTAAAAGTGTAGAATTTCAAAGAATAATGACCTCTTCAACCTCACATATAGGTAACCATACAGAAAACATGACTTTGTTATTTTTTTAGAACATAAAATCGGTTACTTTACAATTTTAACATATTTTAAGCTAGTTTCTAAAAAAAATATAACCCTTTTATAAACCATAGGAATTTTACATAATTTATTAGTTTTTAAAAAAGCAAATATTGGTCAACTAAAAACTTTTCCTTAAATTCAAAGTATTTAATTAATTAAACATCTTGGTATTAACATCTTAATTAAATATTAATTACTCATCAGAGATTGTCTATCATGTGAAAAATCAGTGGTGAATTTCAGTATATTAAAAAGTTCTTTGGTAATTCTTTTACTAAATATATAAGATTTAATAATTATTAAAATTAACGTCTTTTTTTCTAAGATTTAACACATAATATTTTGGACTTCAATTATTTCGACTCAACTTTTAAAACAATATAAACGTTATTATAGATCTTAGCATGTTACTCAACCTATATGATAAAGTTATTTTTCCATCTCTAAAAATAAACTGTCTTGAGTCCATTGTTAATGACGAATTTACTGGATGATGACTTAAATTTCTGTATGATGTAAATACCCAAAATTTATTAGGTCGAATAGATAAGATTTAAATGGTGTGCAATTAGTGTTAAGGAAAAACGTCATTTGGGAAAGATAGGTCCACTCTTGAAAGAAAATTGATAAGGGTTGTTGTCGAGGATGTGCACAACACAAGCAATTACAAAATCAAATAAAAAAATTGGTAGCTGTCCACGATTTTTGAGTTAAATTTCCAAAGTAGTCACGAATATAAACATATCATAGACAAAATTACATAAATGGTGTTTGCGGACTTCAAAACAAATCTTATAAAAGATTGTTGATATGGATGATCTTTATGTTTTTATTTAGTTGCAATCACTGGACCTACAGGTAACTGGAGTTTATTTTATTAATTAATATAATAAAAATTAAAAAATTAAAAATAAACTAACCCATTAAATTGTTGTTGTGCATGGCAAAGAAAGGACGAGCTTGGATGGAAAAAGAAAAAAAAAAGCTAAGAAAGTGTGACTAGGGTGACAAATATTAAGAACTTTCTAAATTATACAATATATTAAATACAAATGAATAGTAAAGTTTTTACATTTTTGATTTTTGCCACAAATATTTTCAATATTCATATATTTAGTCCCTATAATTTTGTAATTTATAGAAAAGGTCCACTTTTGTTTTTTTACAAAAACAGTCCCTATGTTTAACATTTTCATATGTTGACAGATTTGGCCCCTGATACTTTGTAACGTCCCGAAAATCATAAGGAAAAATTTTCGTTTTTTTAAAGTATTAATTCATATAATATTCCGTTTCCAAATCATTTAATGTGAAAATAGTAATTAAACATCAGAGTAAAATCTCAATTAATCAAATGCAGAATAAACTCTTGGGAATATTGTGCAGTCATGTCGGGTCCTTCCCTTCCGAACTGGAAGTACCTGAAACCATAACATAAACTGTAAGCACAAAGCTTAGTGAGTTCCCCAAAGTACCACATACCAAAACATACAACTAGGCTAAACCATGGGGGTATATTTCAACCCAAATAGCAAACATGGGCCCCCGCCCTGGAGCTTCGCCATGGGGTTTATTTCAACTAGATCATGCCAACACATATAGATCACATAACAACAATTATTCCATACAAGAGTTACAAAGACAACTAGCATATAACAAATCCTGGTGGGTCGGCATTGGTGTCTTCGACCCACTGATACTGTGAGAAAACTCACCTCTCAGTCTGAACAAATAGTTGAATAGGTCCTGGCTCCGAATATCAGCTCTACCCGTCACATATTCATCAAATAGTGACCAACCTCAAATACAACTCAAAATATCATTAGGTTAAACTTGGTCAAAGTCAAAAAGTCCAAAAGTCAAAGCTGGTCAACATGGCTGCAAAAGCCCAACATTCCCACCTTGTACGCTTGGCGTACACAAGCTTGACCAAAAACGTGATGGCTGACCACTAACGCCCATCGTTCCTGGGGAATGCCCAGTGTACGCAACTGAGTTCCTTTATCTTGTTAAGAGCTTAATCCTTAAGATCTTTTGCCCATAATCCAGATCTAGTCTTATAATAACGACCTTAACCATAAAGTTCCCAACTTTATGTGACATCCCCATCTTCACGGCCAGAAAAGACCGATTTTGTTTATGCTTTATAAAAATCAGAGTACCTCTTTTAATAAAAATG